AAGAATTCCATCGTTGATACAAAGTGCAAGTTTATGAGGTTCAAGGGAGGTACAGGGAATAAAGTGTTCTTACACAAAACTTATATTAACTTATATTATATTAAAACTTATATAAAGATTACAATAATATTTTAAATTTTTTTCTAAAAAAGTAAAAGTGATCGAGGAAGTGAAGCTTTTTCGATCACGGCGTTAAAACAAAATAAATTATTTTTAAGTTTTCCGCTGGCAGAGAAATCAAAAGTTTGTATTATTATTGCATGTTTGTAATTAGTAATTACTAATTTTTTAATTATTTGTACCTTAAATTACTAAATTTTTTGTAAGTATAAATTTAGTGAGAGTAGTTATTTAAAAAAAAACGATTTTTTATTACGACATCGACAACTAATGTAGAAATGTTACATTAACTGCAAATATTAATTTATATCTGATATTAAATCCACTGATTCACTGCAAGGTAAACCAACTGTCGTAACTTTATTCTTGTTATGGCTAACGAGTGAACCTTGAAAACTATGAATGAAAAGAATATGATTAAAATTTATTAGTATATATACCGTTACAACATCGAGTAAAACTTAACGATTTTATTACCAATTTATTACAACTATTAAGGATAATTGAATAAGTAAGTAAGTCAATAATATCGATTATTATGTACAATATAATAATAAATAACGGTATCGTAACTGATATTACAAAATTTGTAATAAAGTAGGTAACTACTTTTCTAATTGTGAAAAATAATGAAATAAGGAGCACATTGCAACAAAATCACATTTTTTGTTTTTATGGTTTATTTTTCACTACACAGTTACAAAATATTTTTATTCACAATCACCAATGTACTAACCTGTTAAAGGCGGTAATATGCAGGATTGTCGACGTTGAGTCTGCAAAAATACCGAGAATTTTTTTTTTTTCAAATTGTCAAGTTACGCATATTATTTTGGTGAGATTAATTTAATGCACTGTAAGATTTAAATTCTAACATAATTTCATGGTCCGTTGACGTTCGTAACCTCAACGTTAATGTGCCGACGTGATCTTTATCATCAAAAAAATGATCAAAAAGATCCAAGTTAGAAACAATACATGTGTGAAAATATTAATTTCGTAGTAATTAGTAATAGAAAGGAAAAAGCAACTTTATTTTAGTTTATAAAAAAATGAACACAAAAAATATAATGCTAGGTAGTGTCAGTTCCGTAAGTAATCAGTAATCACTTATTGTCACTGTTTATGTTAGTACTACATTTGCACTTCTAGTGGCATGTACAACAAGTGAAATTGTATCTTTCACTTGTTTGTTGGATACTATACAGGTGCGCCAGAACTCGCGCCCCAGAGAAAAATGACATATAAAGTAAGATACCAGGAAAATGGAAAAAATGTTTAAAAAAATGTATCTATAAAAATTCCGAAGTTATGAGAGTTTATATTTTGCACTTTAACACTATTTATTTCTGTTGGAAAAATATTTTTTAAGGTTTTTTGCTATAGGTTATTAGAAGAGGAAACAAGGAAGCTGTATCCTAAATGGTGACTCTGTTCAATGTTATTTGTGGCTTTTATTGGCAAAATTTTTGTACCTTTACTAAATAATTGTAAAAAACCATATATAAGATCGTTAGTAACATTAAACAGACTTAAAAAATGTCAAATGTCAAAAAATAAATGTTCAAAATTTCTTGACAGCGAATTTTTTAAACATTTTTTCCATGTTCCTAACTTGAAATTTTTCTCAGGGGCTCGAGTTCTGGCGCACCTGTATTAAATTCCAGGGATATGCTGGGCTACAGGTGTTTATGTCTGACAACATATTTGAGACTTTCTTGACCTATTATTAAATTATCAACAAATCCTTCGGCCACTACACTTGATTTGTAGCGGCCTAATCTCTTTAACTGTATCACCACCACTATCAGCGAGTAATGTACCCGCAGTTCTTCTAAAACAATGGCCTGTAAAACTTGTCAAAAATGGATCTTTTAAGTATGTTGCAGTTTTTTTCGGAAACATTGCAATTGAGTTGTGTCCAAAAGGCTGTTTTGTCATTTTGTTATATCTGATTTGCATAAACAATCTGCTGTTGTTTATTTATATTCTGTCATAGGTTTTTATATTGTTTTAATATTGTTACCCATTCATAATTTGAAATAATAATTGCTCTGGAATGATGTCTTCGTGTCTGGAATAGAAACACTGACTTGATTGTCGTCCAGAAAATTTATATGATCAATATTCATTTTAAAAAGCTTGTCAGTTTGACAAGTTGCTGAAATTCCCAGTATCAAAGCCACCTAGAAATTATTAAATTAAACTGTTTGATAAAGTCGCGGTCAATTCATAGTGGCCACTTCCCTGATGTGTAAATTTATAAAAATTGAGTTGTGTAAATCCGACTTTAAACATCCAATTGTTTTTTTAGGGACATAAATATCTATCAAAAATGACAATAAATACGTCATATATAACATGTATTGCATTGTCACAATTGTTTACACAATTTAGTTACTTCTGCTTGCAACATTGACACAACCCACACTCTAGAGGTGGCGGGCTAGGGGCTGCCAACTTTGCAATTAATTAAATGGCCCCTATGAATTAACTGCAATAACTACTTTTTGGGGAAAAAAATTTAAGGGGGCGCTCTTCAGAAATAAATCAATATTGATCTCGGAAAAAGTGCTCGACTTTTTAGGTTTATAACCTACACTCTGTTTTTTTAGATAAGGCTTCAGTTTGGGAAATTTTGAAAATTCAATATTTTATTTAATACTGATTGTTGATCGCAACATTCAGTATGTTGCCCATTGCTTAGTCGCAAAAATAAGCAAGCCCAACACTCCGAAGTCAAGTCTTGGATTCCTTGAGCCGAACACCAGCTCTGTAGCGGCCTTTACTTTTCTCGGGTAATAAATTTTCAATTGCTTCTGAAGCAACTTTCCTTCCTTCTGGAGGAGTACATTGCTTATTTCAACAATTTTAATATTGTCACACATTATTTTAATATAATTTATTTTGTACTCAATGTTAAAGAGTGCTTTTATCAACTAATTTCAGTACATAAAGTAGTCTTTTATCGTCTAGTGAAATAAAGTAATTTTTATTTACTGTTTATATTCTAGAAATTCTGGTAGGTGAGTAGAAAATAAAACGAAATACTATACACAACGATAAAGAAATTGTTTATCTACTCGTGACTTCGTCGCTAGTAAACTTAACTTTCCACTCGTAGATAAACAATTTCTTTATCGTCTTGTATAATTATTTGACTTTTCTTAAATGTCAAAAATCGCGAACGCGATTTGTTTGTATGGCCCACCACATTTGTGCCTCAACTTTTGTTAGAATTTTATTTTATTTAAATTTTTAATTAAAAATAATGTGATTGTGAATAAAATAGTATACAAACCTCGGTGGTAATGTCTTTACCTTTTGTGCTCTATCCGATCTCGAGGCTGGCGCTTCTCGATCGTATACAGGGTGATTCTTGTAGGGCCTACATTAAAAACTTTTTAGCTTCTAATGCAGATAGAAATTTGAAATTTTGTACAGAACCTAAATCGACCAGTCTAAGTTCAAATAAATTATTTTCGGAATGGCTGAACTTTCGGAACTACAAGAAATTGGCGCCAACTTTGTAATTTTAAATGTTAACCACTTATTTTTATTGCATTTCTGAGTTTCCTTCTTCAAACTGAGTAAAATGTACCTAGTTGTTAGTACTTATCTGTCATATTTTTGACATATCTCAATTTTTTGGTCACAGTTTTCATTTGCAGAACTTCATTTACAATATCACAGCTCTTGAAACTTTTGTAATAGTGAATAATTTTTTTCGCATTTGATAATTAAAAGTTCGAAGAGTTTTCCAAAATTTTCAAAATTTTCAACTGTCAAATTGCAAAGCTAATAAGTTTTTTTTTTAAGTGATTACTGTGACTCAGTTTGTTTCAAATAAAATGACTCTATTTTCTCAATGGCAATCGAAAGTACATCGATTTGTTGAAGGACTTTTGTCAACATATCCTATACCCATCTCTTACAATTTTTGAAATAATCACAAAAACGTGTTTTTGTTTTTTATTTTTATTGTTAATCACGTACTAAAGATTTAGTCTACACAACACCCATCCGAAATTACGAAGAATTGAGGCAAAGGATTGAGGCGGCATTTAATAATCTTCAACCAAATGAAATAATGGAAGCCACTCAATCAGTTCACCATCGAGTTTTCGACTGTTTGAAAATGGTGAACATATCGAACATCTGTATTAATTATGGCTTAGCTTTATTGTATTTTTCAAAAGCTTTCGTGATTAACTATAAAAATAAAAAACAAAAACTTAATTTTCGAGATTATTTCAAAAACTGTAAGAGATGGATATAGGATATGTTGATAAAAGTCGTTCCATAAATTGATGTACTTTCTATTGCCGTTGAGAAAATAGAGTCATTTGATTTGAAAAAACTGAGTTATAGCTCATTTTCAAAAAATTATACTAGCTTTGTAATTTGGCAGTCGACAATTTTGAAAATTTTAGAAAACTCTTCAAACTTTTGGTTTTGCAAAAAAAATATTCACTGACCACAAAGGATTCAAGAGCTGTAATGTTTTGAATGAACCCCTGCAAATGAAAATTTTGACAAAAAAATGACATTTGTCAAAAACTGTGACAGAGTACTAACAACTAGGTACATTTTACTCTGTTTGAAGAGGAGAATACAAAAATGCAATCAAAATAACTGGTTACCATTTAAAATTTTAAAGTTGGCGCCAATTTCTCATAGTTCCGGAAGTTCAGCCATTTTGAAAATAATTTAGTTGAACTCAGACTGGTCTATTTGGGTTGTGTACAAAATTTCAAATTTCTATCTGCATTAGAAGTTAAAAAAATTCTAATGTAGAGAAAAAAGAATCACCTTGCACATGAGCACTCGGGGTAATGTCATATTTACCACCTCGCTTGTAATGTACTATTTCCTTGCAGATACATGGCCACCTCAAAATTCGAACCTACCTACGCTCGTCAAGCCTTCCCTTGTTTCGACGAACCCAACTTAAAAGCCAGTTACAAGGTTCATCTTTTAAAACCCAACGATCCTGAATACATAGCTTTATCCAACAATCCACAACATGTAGGTATCAGATTGTAAGTCGATTTGTCAAATAACACTTTGATTCACTTTTATCAGAGTGAAGAAATCGTTCCTGAAGGTGTTATGGTACATTTCAATGAAACAGTACCAATGTCCACTTATCTATCATGTTTTATCGTGTCAGATTTTCAATACACAAATACAACGTTTCAAAACGGTGGAAACGAAGTTCCTTTCAGGGTCTATGCAAGTCCGCATCAATTAGAGAAGACGACTTATGCGGGAGAAGTTGGAAAACAAGTTATAGAATATTATATAAAATATTTTGATATACCCTATCCATTACCAAAATTAGGTAAGTATTGAAACGAAAGTAAAGCTGTTCTATAACTTAGGTTTTATTGGACAGTAATTTAATCTTTACATAATGTTTAATGGGAATGTTGATGCAGAATTAAATTCTCCTTCATTTAGTGAAGAAAAAAATTGGGGTTTACTATTTTAAAAAACATAAGTTTGTCAATTATTTTTTCAATTATAGATACACCAAAGGAAAGATCTAACCTTTATATATATCTTATATCTCCAAATAAGATTTCAAAATAATAAAAAATGATAGAGTTATCTATTTTTGGATAGGAAGGTGCAAATCCGAAAAAATCAAAAAAAGTCTAAATTTTTTGAAAACGGTTAAACTTAAGTATAGGCAAGGTTTCTGAAAATCACTTAAGTAATCCAAAAACGTAATAAAAAACAGCTTTCTATTTAAAATAACGAAGATGATACCCACTTCCGATGTAACCGGAAGTGTCGCCATCTTGAAAATATTTTTATTGAGGAAGACCTAACCGATTATGGATATAAACAAAATTTTAGATGAAAATTGTAAACTACAATGTGCCATTGTAAATAATATTTTATTATATTTTTGTTTATTTGTAATTTAAACTTTACTTTTTTTATCGTATTATCAATATTATCATCTTTTGACGAATGTTTAACGTTTTTTTTTTGTTACAAAAATGTAGGTAATACCATAGGCAACCGAAGACAGCCGAGGACATTTTTATTCAAAGGATTAACGATGTTTATTCCAGAAATGCGTACAAAACTTTTCCCTCAACAGACTAAATTTGTAATAACATAAGAAAATGATACATTTTTTAAATGTAAAATAATTTGTCAGAATGTTCAATTCATTCAATTACAATTTTAAGAGTAAAAATCAGTATCAAGGAGTTTGTTTATCTCTAGAAACATTCAAAAGATTTAATTTATTCAATTTCATTTTATTTTAAGAGTAAAAATCGGTATAAAGTACCAGAAATGAGTCAAAAAACAGGTCACTTTATTCCCTGTTGAGAGATTTTTTTATTGTTTTTAACTTTAGAATTTCGTGAAATAAGATGGTGTTGGTGTCAATTTTACATTCATTTATTTGTTCATTCATTTTCTTGCAAAAGTGTTTAAGTTCAAGAGAGAACACAAATGTTTCTGGTGTTTTTAAAGCATATACAAAAAATTAAGAAGGCTCATTAGTTTTAGTTGCTTTAAAGTACATTTTCTGTGGAAAATTAAATTCTAAACATATTTTTACATCATCATAAGTGAATAGACAAAAGAATTGATATTTTTCCTACGGATGGTTTTTCGTTTTTGGAATCTAAAAGGTCTAGGACTCTAGAATCTTAAGGTGTGACAAACTGGTTTTATAAAATTTAATTTTTTGTTTATCCGTAAGACGAATTCGATGACAAAATTTTAGTTGAGTTAATCCGTATTTTTTTTAAAGAACCGTAATTACATACAATTCAAATGAATATGTATGCGCCAGAACTCACGCCCCAGAGAAAAATACCATATTAGGTAAGATACCAGAAACATGGAAAAAAATGTTAAAAAAAAATTATCTATAAAAACTTCCAAGTTATGAGGGTTTAAATTTTGCACTTTGACTCTATTTATTTCTGTTGGAAAAATAATTTTCCAAGTTTTTTTTTGCTACAGGCTATTAGAAGAGGAAACAAAAACGCTGTGTTTTAAATTGTAATTCTCTTTAATATTATTTGTGGCTTTTATTGGCAAAATTTTTGTATATTTACTAAGTAATTGTAAAAAAACATATACAAGGTCATCAGTATCATTAAATAAACATAAAAAAATGTCAAATTTCAAAAAATAAATGTCAAAATTTTTTGACAGAATTTTTTAAACCTTTTTTCCACATTTCCACATTGTTATTTTTTTTTATTAACCAACATTTTAGCAATAATTAGATACAAGTATATTCTCAAAGATAGGGGATTCATGTTCCATGTTACATTTTTTAAATGGTAAGTAATAGAATCAAAAGAAATCTAAAAACACTAAATTTTTTCAAAAAATCGATTTGTGTTTTGCTAATAAAATTGGCATTATCAGGAGGATGAATTATGCCTATTGTTTATCTCTACTACTGATTTTATACCGTTAAAATTTAAATTTACATAAAATTTCTAATCAGAGTAGCGTGCGATTCTAAAATTAAATTTGCTACATTGAATAAAATAAAGACAAAAGATTTAAAATGTGACATGTTTTTGTAGTGTTCATAATTCTAAAATTTCAGGTCACTCTGATTGCAAATTAAAAAATTGAAATGAACATTTATACTACCAGGGCGCAAATTTAAATAAATGAACCTTATTATAAAAACAAATCCGATATATTATTTTTAACACGTTTATTAATTATAAAAAAGGTGAAGATTTTTAACGACCCTAGATTTTTATTTTATTTTGTTAAAACAAAAGTTTGGTTAAAACAGAAGAAGGTTCTGATTCCAAAACAATTGAGAAACTACATTTTTGCATGTTGAAACTACAGTTGTTGACTTTTAAATTTTACAAAACAATCTACAATTATCTGCAATTCAACAATCTGAAATTAATTTGCCATATTTACTTTTTTTTTAATAATTTTCTAGACATGGTAGCGATTCCCGATTTTGTATCCGGTGCTATGGAACACTGGGGTCTCGTGACCTATCGAGAAACCGCTCTTTTATACAACAATAAAACACATTCGGCCAGTAACAAACAAAGAGTAGCGGAAGTAGTAGCTCACGAACTTGCACATAGCTGGTTTGGAAATCTAGGTAAATAACTCAAAAAAAGCACAAAAAACAAAGTTCGTGTAACATTTCGTGCCGATTTTAGTCACGATGGATTGGTGGAATAATTTATGGCTAAACGAAGGTTTTGCAACGTACATTGCCGATAAAGGAATCGAACACATCACACCGGAATGGCAAATGGTACGAAGAGCGAAAACAATTTATTATTTTTTACGAATTGAAATTTAAAAATTCTTTTAATAATGTTGGCAACATTGAATAAAATTATAGAGAGATTGTAAATGTAAGATTATTCCGTGTTGCCAACTTAATTTTGGTGTCAATATCAGAACTAAAAAAAATAATTTTAGATGGACCAATTCCTCATCAACACACTTCATTCAATTTTGTCACTCGACGCAACACAAGGGTCCCATCCAATCATTCAAACAGTTGAAACTCCTGATCAAATCACTGAAGTGTTTGATTCTGTTTCGTACAACAAAGTGAGTCGTTTTTAAATTCATTTATTTGTTTCAAAATTGCTTCTAGGGTGCATCGGTATTAAGAATGTTAGAGTCAGTTGTTACACCAGCCACGTTCCAAAAAGGCGTAACTAATTATTTAAAGAAACATGCATATGGTAATGCTGTTACACAAGACTTGTGGGATGAGATACAAGATGTGGTGGGTGATACATTAAATGTTACCGAATTTATGAATACCTTTACCGTACAAATGGGTTATCCGATATTAGAAGCCAAAGTCGAGGGGAACACTTATACGTTCACACAGAAACGGTTTTTGAAGGATTATGAGACTGCAAACACACAGAAAAGCTCACCTTTGAAGTAAGTTTTCATTTCCGAATAACAAACCAGTTTACCAACGAAACTACTCCAAAAAATTAAAAGAACAAATAATTTTCCTAAATTTTTTGGTGATTTTTGAAAGGCTGTAACTCATCAAAAAATGGTCGTATCTACATTTAAAAAAACATTTTAAAGCTTTGAGTTTTTAGTTTTCAGATCTTTTAGCAAATATTTTTTCTTTGCTACGGTTATCACACAATTCTAAGTAATAGCGCGAGAAAAAAAATAATAAATTTTTATGTTTTTGTTTTTGGCCCACGGACGAGGGGATTTTTTTTTTTAGTTGAGTCAATGCATAGGCCGGATAGCAGTTTGTTTACCTTTAATATGCTTTCTTTGTATTCTCTTTACGTTAATTTGTCGCTGAGGTATCTGACTTTGAATGAAAAAGGATCCTCTTGTCTTTGATCATCGATATCTCAGCAACCAAAGACTACACAGAAAATATAATAGTAGTGTCATAAACTGTCATAAACTAAATGTTTTATAAGATCCTCTTATGATTTTTTGGAAAATATTTTTTTTTTCACCTTTAACATTGATTTTAAGAAAAGAGAAAAAAGTAAGTTTTTGAATTGTTTTAGTAAATGTTTTTAGATGTTTTCACAGCTCAAAGTATTCCTCACAACCCTGCTAATTTTTAAATCGATCCATCAAATCATTTTTTTTGACCGATTGATCAAAAGTTTTGCAAAAGATTTAAAGGAACAATTGTACATATTGTTTCTGAACATCGTTTAATCTTCGTCAAGATGAGAATTTTTTTAGTTTTCTTTTACAATTTGACACTAGTTAAATTTAAAAAAAAATTGAAACAAGAATTCAAAAAAATATTTTTGATTTTTTTTTCAAAAATTAATCAGTATTGTTTCTTGAATTTTTTTTGCAAATTTAAAAAAAATCTAAAACATTGTTTTCTTTTTTTTTTCAAAAATTAAGCAGTATTGTTTCTTTAATGTTTTTACAAATTTAATAAAGAAAAAACAAAAAACAATTTTTGTTTAATTTTTTTATTTTGACGAAGATTAGGCAATGTTCAGAAACAACATGTGCAATTGTTCCTTTAATTCTTTTGCAAAACTTTGATCAATCGGTACGAGAAAACGGTTTGATGGATCGATTTAAAAATTAACAGGGCTGTGGGGGATACTTTAAGCTGTAAAAACACCTAAAAATATTAGTATCCCCATCAATATTAGCGAATACGCGGTAGATTTACTAAAACAACGCAAAAACTTACTTTTTTCTCTTTCCTTTAAATCAGTGTTAAAGGTGACAAAAAATATTTTCCAAAAAATCATAAAAGGATCTTATAAGACATTTATTCCAGGTTTTGACACTACCCTTATATTCTGTGGTCATCAGTTTTTGAGATATCGATGATCAAAGACAAGAGGCTCCTTTTTCAAAGACAGATATCTTAGCGACAAATTGTCGTAAAGAGAATATGAAGAAAGCATATTGAAGATAAACAAACATGCCATCCGGCCAATGCATTAACTTAACTAAAAAAAAATTCCTTACGTCCGTGGACCAAAATCAAACACATTAAAATTTAGAATTTTATTACTTAGAAATTAAGTTGGCAGCATTGAAGTTACCGCCTGATTATTATGATTAAAAATTAGTAAAGTTTGTAACTTTCTTTTTAATTAATTAGCTGACCTCGCAATGTAGCCGAGGGTCCTCGTTTAAATAAATTTTATTCGTTCTGGCGGTGGCCGGGCTCGGACCATTTTTATTCAATGTTGCCAACATGATTTCAAAATCACATACTTTTTTGATCAGAAATTTTTAAAATTTTAGCTACAAGTGGAGCGTTCCGGTGAAATTTATTACAGATTTGGGAGAATCGGATCAAATCCATTGGTTTAATTACAAATCGGATAGATGTAAGAGTGTTGATTCACGTTCTATTTTTTTTTTAATTTTATTTTTCTAGTGGTAATTGAAAAACCAATTAATGCTAAATGGATCAAATTTAACCCAAGTCAGATCGGTTATTACCGCGTTAACTATGCAGAAAACGATTGGAGAACACTTATTGAAAACATAGAGTCATTGTCAATCGCCGATCGAACTCATTTACTTGAAGAGAGTTTCAGTATAGCACAATCGGGCGATTTAAGCTACGAAATTCCTTTAACTATGACAAAATATCTAGTTAATGAAACTAATTACATCCCTTGGGGAGTCGCCTCTTCACAGTTGCAACAAATCGCCAAATATTTGCAAAATTCAAGACTGGATTCCGATTTTAAGGTGAGTTTTTTGTAATTTTTGACTCGATTGAATATTTGTTCCAGACTTATGTCACCAATTTGTTGAAACCAGCTTATGAGAAATTGACTTGGGACGATAGTGATGACAGTGAAGGCCATTTGGAGAAGTAATACCAACTTGACTGTGTCGAAAGTTACTAAATTCTGATTTGTAGGTTGGCACGAGTGGTTGTTTTGAATCTTGCCTGTGTTATGGATTACGATGAGGCCTTAAATGAGGCTAAAAGTATTTTTGCACAATGGATTGATGATAATTCGTTTGAGATTTCGCCCAATTTGAGAGCGGTTGTTTATAAATTTGGTAGAAATTTTTACTTTTTAATTTTTTTTTTTATTATTTTGTTGGCTTTTTAGGGATGGTGACGGCTGATGAAATTACGTGGAATAAAGTTTTTGATCTTTTTGCGAACGAGTCTGATGCGAATGAAAAACTTAAATTAATGAATGGTTTAGCCAATGTGCGAAATCCCTCACTTTTGACCAAGTAAGTCTTGTGATTGGTTGATTTTGTTTGCAAGTTCTTCTTCTAGATTTATTGATTTAGCCAAAGATGAAACTTATGTCAGAAGTCAAGATTACTTCACTTTGTTACAATATATTTCAGGAAATCCTGTTGGGACTCCAATTATTTGGGATTATGTCCGGTATTTAACATCAAAATAATAAAAAAACATAACTTAAATTATTTTTTTTAGTGAAAATTGGCCCTATTTAGTGGATCGGTTTACCCTGAACGACCGATACTTGGGACGGTTGATTCCAGCTATAACTAACCGATTTTCAACTAATCTGAAAGTTGATGAGGTATTTTTTTAATTTGTGAATGATTTCCAGGCTTTATTTTTATTTTTAGATGAAATCCTTCTTTGCTAAATACCCAGAAGCCGGTGCTGGTGCTGCCGCACGACAACAAGCGTTGGAAACTGTCGCAAATAATATCAAATGGTTGGAGAAATATAAAGGTGTTGTTGAAGACTGGATCAAATATATTTAATTGTGCTACAAGGAACCTGTTGTAAATTGCTCAAACTGTATATTTTTTTAAGATTGTAAAGAAATATACTTGAAAAAAAAAGACTGGTTTTTATGTGTTTGTGTACTAGTCTTGAGGGGTGGTATACACATTATTTTCATTCTAGATACAGCTATTTATACTACAAGTAATTTTTAACTTCTAATAGAATATTTTTTAAATGAAAGGAAATGTCAATTTTCCCATTGTGCTCTATTCTAATGTTTTATAAAAAAAATGCAAATATTTTTATTTACAATCACTAGTACAGGGTGTTTCACACAACTTTACGAGGCTTGCGCCTTATGTACGCACCCAAATATACAAAAGTCATAAAACACTGGATCCAAAAAATGCACATTTAATTTTTAGAAACCCATGTCAGTAGTTGTCAAACTAATCACTTTCATTAATAGTCATAAACTGTAGTTTTTCAGAAACAATTATTATTTGTTCTATCAAGAGACGGCATGATTATGATTCTAGTTTATCTATCTTAATCACTTATTAACTAAAAACGTTGTACTTTTGAAAGGGTGAACAAACTAGAGAAGATTTTTTATAATTATTTAGTAAAGATACAAAAATTTTGCCAATAAAAGCCACGAAATAATGTTAAACATAGTTACAATTTAAAAAACAGTTTCCTTGTTTCCTCTTCTAATAGCCTGTAGCAAAAAAAAACTTGGAAAATTATTTTTCCAACAGAAATAAATAGAGCCAAAGCGCAAATTTTAAACTCTCATTACATCGAAATTTTTGTATATAGAAATTTTTAACATTTTTTCCATATTCCTGGTATTTTATCTTACATGGCATTTTTCTCTGGGGTGCGAATTCTGGCGCATTTGTATACAGGGTGCCCCAGAACCCGCACCCCAACAAACATTTTTAAGTAAGATAAGATACCAGGAACATGAAAAAATGTTTTAAAATTTAAAATATCCTATCTGTCAAAAAATTTTGACAATTAGTTTTTGACATTTGACATGTTTTCATGTCTATTTAATGACACTGATGATATTGTATATGTTTTTTTTATAATTATTTAGTAAAAGTAAAAAAAATGCCAATAAAAGCCACAAATAACATTAAACAGAGTTACAATTTAGGATAGAGCTTTTTTGTATCCTCTTCCAATAGCCTGAAGCAAAAAAAAACTTGGAAAATTATTTTTCCAACAGAAATAAAATTTAAATCCTCATAACTTCAAAATTTTTATAGATAGAATTTTTTCAACATTTTTGGTATGGAAACGATGAACAAAAACACGATTAGCCCGTCACACCAAACTTTTATTATAATAGCACAACGCGTTTCGACCACAAAGTGGTCATCCTCAGGTGAGAATAAAACTAACTAATTTAACAATGGTAATGCCTTATATACTAATTTTCCGACTTTCACTTTCCCTACCCTCAACTAACGAGTAGAGGGGAGAAAAGGGAATGGGGCCGTTGTCTG